GTTGTTGAATGGGTTGGGCTTCCTTTGTTGGGCCCAAGCCTTACTTTGAAGGAGCTTGGGCTTTCGTGTAATGGGCCCACTCGCATATGATTGGGCTCTCATGTAGTGGGCCTAATTAGTAGATGAATTGGGGCCCATTGGGTCGGCCCAATTATGTATATCAATACCTAACTAGAATAAAATACATGAAAATAAATCTAAGTCCTAATATAAGTATTATAAGAATAGGACTATAATAAATTCCAAAATAATCGTGGAAAACAAATCTTTGCCAATCTTTGATTTCCACGTATGGCGGATTTCTTCACTCACGGAAATCTGGCGCCAACAATCTCCCCATTTGGCATAGATTGGTCAGAATCCATGTTTAACAATAACTCCCTCGGCAGACAAGATTTTCTCCCCCTGCAACAAGGAGTGTTAACACCACAGAAGGGTTATTAATGGGCATTGGTGGAAATATCGAAAGAAGTTATGGGAAAATAAGAGTTTTCTACAAACTCAAATTATATTTGAATATGAAACGAACTCTATCTCAAGTGAAACAGCGCAAGTAACAAAACTTATGAGCAAAGATCATGAACCACGTCAAATTTTGGGAATCCAATGTCGTTTAGACTCCTAAAAATTCCTTTTTGCTATTTTATGCATGTTTTAGAAAATTAATATCAAATCATAGAAAAATCGGATTAGGATTCCGAAAATCGAGATATTCCCAAAATTACGAGATCTACTAGAATCAGGCTCTAACTCGTTTTTTCCATTAGGATTTTCAGTTTTATTAGTATAAATAGTTGCTTAGGACTTTATTTTCAGAAGATTTTCGAATTTTAATAAAATATTTAGAGTTTTCTCTATTTTCAGGTAAATTCTAGAGTTTTCGGTGGATTCCGAATGTTATTTTGTTCTATAGAATTAATTCGTTAAAATTAATTCTTTACCGTTCTTGCGTTATGCGTCATGTTTGCTGAATATGTTGTTTGCAACAAATTAACCTAATATATACTAAATGAATTGAAAAAAAAACCGTATAAAACATGAACCTAATATGAGATGAATATGAAATGATGCAGTTCAAAAATATCCATGTTCTCATTTGCTACCACACCATCTTTCAACATAACTTTCACGAATATTTTATCAGTTGAATTTTTTTGAACGTAATCCATCATCACCCAAACATCTTCATCATCCATCAGGACGCATTCACCATGATTTAATAAATTACATGTCAATGACAATTACTCGGACATAAACAACTCCACTTTGTGCACACAAAGTCAACTAAATTCTTATAACTCGTTGCATCCGACACTTTGTTCAATGATACCAATACATCATACGAACACAAGTTTTGTGGAGATCCATAAACTGCAAACAATATTGTACGAACATTTAAGTTGTAAAATGACAATTAATAAATTGAAAAAAAAAAAACTACATTGACAAACCTTTGCACATAATCCCTTTTCATGTCGATTGCAGAACAAATCCTTCAATTTTTATCAATTTAACCGTTTCGATATAGAACATATAATTTATATATCGACTCTTGCGTTCATTTGTAAGACACTCGGATTGGTTTTCAAAAAATTTCATTAAAATCGCATATTTCAATTGTAATACACTCGGATCTGTTTGTCAAGCGTCTCACACATCACTCTGCCTTCAAACGTGATTAATGGAATTTGATTTCTCAACTTTACGTAAATAATTGAATCCGTCTAAATAGGTTTATTCACTAAGGGTACTTATATTTATATATTTTTATTATTTTTTTGTGTTAAAGGACATAGGCCTATATTCATCTAGTAAGTAAGATCTCCATCCATATAACTTCAAGAATTAGAACCTCTAGCCAATTTCGCCTAAAATAATACGTTTTAATTATTAAATATCATATTAAAATGTTTCTGTATAAAACCAAAATGCCTCAATTTTGTTTCTTCGGCTTAGGCGTCACGAACCCTGGGACCGGCCCTGTGTATGTTCACTCACAAAAACATTACGAAAACCAAAACCACATAAATGTGGAAAAAAAAAAACCTAATAAACAAATAAATATTCAACATCTAAAAATAATAAAATAGAGTGCAAATCATGAACTCGTCAACAAGTATCCCATATCTACAATTTATCCCCAATGATGGGAAATTCTATGCTACACCTGGTGAATATAACCAGGCACCCTAATTAATAAGATTCCTACTACGGGTTCAGTTATGGCCCAATGGGTTTTTGAAATATAATTATAAAATAAATAAATAAAAAGACACATGTCAAGAAAAGAGCTACCCGGTGAAAATCACCGGGTGTAGCATCGTATTCCCCCCCAATGATTGCGTTCTTGCTTGTTAAGGCCCACATACATCTCCATTGCATGCGTAATCTTCAAGAGGTTGTTTCTTCCTTCTTTGTGTTTAACAGTAATTGAATTAATTTATTTCTTAAATTCTTCTTTTTCTCTTAAGAAAAAAAAGTTATTCTTGATGCTTTAACTCGTCATGGGATAAAAAATAGCACGCTTGGAGTTAGTTATTATTAAAATTGAAGACTAGGTAGGATCAATATTGCAACAATCTTTTCAATAAGAACTTTTCAAGCATTCACATTAAGTAATATTCATTTAAAAAAGCGTAGATTCTAATTCCCTTATACTTTGGTTCATTCGGTATCACTTTACCCCATTGTACTCTCGATTGCATCGATTTGTTTATTGTACTTGAAAAACTGTCTCAATGTGGCTCTCGCTGCTAGTTGTCAGACATTTAAGCTTAACACCGTTTGATAAATGCTCTGAAATTACAAAACATGCCACCTCTCCCAGTTTAAACAATTATTTAAAAAACAATAAAAAAAATAATAAAAAATTCAAGACAACGAGAAAACATGGTTCACAACTCCAACCACAATTTATTTTTAGTTTTCTTTTTAATTTTTAAAATTATTATTTTTTAAAAAATAGATGAAGCCCCTATTGTCCATATGTTGAAAAAGTTGAAGATAATTCTACTTTTTGCGGTTAGTGGTCCTATACCTAAATATATTTAACTTTAAGAGATTGGACTGGAGATTAGACACATATATAGATGGAGGGCCAATCGTGTGATTCTATATATGATTGAACTCCACTTAATTATGAACATAGAATATAATGATATATATATTCCATGCAATTTGAGATGTTTTTACATAACAGTTCCTGAGAATTTGGGGCCCTAGACGAGTTTTAAGAATGTGTAAAAATGGATAAGTATTTGTATGTATACATTAATTTATTCTAACGAGCACGACTGAATAAGAGTTTTTTTAATGAAACAATAAAAATTTTGGAGAAAATATATATGACTAAATAATATTAACAAAAGTTTACGGGATTCGAAGTAGCTCTAAAGTTTTTTTGAATATAGTCATAGAAATATTATTGAACAAGTAAATATATGTAACATTTGTTTAAATATAATTAAAAAAAATAGTATATTTCAATTTGCCAAATTTGATAGATAATTAAAAAAATGTAAAGAATGCTGGAAAAAAAGTTTAAATCTTGAAATAGATAAAAAAAAGAATTGATAAAAGAACTCAATATTTAACTAATTATAATTGATCTAAGATATTCTATTCACACTAAATGCAAAAATAAGTGTAAAAATTCCAATAAATACTTAAACGTAACTATGTAAAATAATATATGGTTATTCAAATTGTTGAACTATATATTTATATATTTTAAAGATCATTTAATAATATTAGTATATGTAAGAGTACAAAATATTATTTAAGGACTTGTTTTCTAAAAATCCAGGAGCCTGAGGCGACCGTCTCTCTCGTCTACATTGAGAACCGGCGCTGAATATTTATATATATCTCTAAATCTATTTGACAGAAACTCACGCATGCATGGATAATAGTACCCACTTACAAAAAGTGCTCACTTTGTCTTTGTAAAATTTGGCTTCATATTTTAAGATTTTTCTTAGGGCTATGGCTGTTTGGATGCTACAATTTGTTAATATATGGTACTTTTGCACAATATATTTACACATAATTAATCTTACACACACACACACATATCTAATAAGCTAATTTTTTACCATGAAAAGTAGTCATAAACTGCGGTAAGGTGTGGGTCGGCCAACCTTTCTATTGCTTCTGTTTGAAGATACCCTATACATAATTATACTCCATTATATTTCCATTAGATACCCTATAATTACACAATGTATAGCTAGCATATATATATATATATATATATATACAAGACAAATCTTTACATGAGATGGTGATAATGATATACATGTGAAAGTTCTTAAAGCTAGGTCTGAGTACTGACAACCTATGTAGCACGGACACGGAAACACGGAGACGAGAAACAGGGAAACAGATACTGAAAACTCCATTTTCCAAAAAGTTGGATATACGGGAACGTGGGGAAACGCGTAAATAATAAAAATATAGGGGTGCATTCATAATTTCTAATATTTAAGATCATTCCACAAATTACATTCGGCCCATATAAATTTATTTCAGTATGGAATTAACATCTACAAAAATATTAAAACACCACTAGAAATGAAATGGAGACATAATATTTAAGATTTTTTTAAGCGTATGCAATTAAGAGTTTTTAATTTATAAATGAAATTTTGATTTATTTTGTGGGGAAACGCGTGTTTCCAATGTTTCATTATTACCAGAAACGTCCCCGAAACTTTTAAATATTTATAAAAAGGTCCCGAAACGTTTCCGATAGGTGTCATGGAGTTTCGATTTCCGAAACGTGGAAATGCGTGTGGGTTGTAGTTCCCGTGCATAATAGCCGACAACTTATGGCAATGGATCGGAATCAAGAGCAATATTGTTCAAACACGCGCAGGCGCGCGGGCACGTACAATTTTTTTTAATACAACATAAACTTTGAAGTGAAGTGGTACTGGCCTAGCTACTAGGGTTTTTCTCGTCTAATGATCATTTATATGATGCATTTGCAATCAATCATATGCAAGTCTTAATAACTGATGATTCAAAACATAAATTGTATTAAACACACAGATTGCTCATACATTATAAATATATATCATAAATAAATACTCATGGAGTATACTCCAAAGCTACTCATAAAACCGAAACTACTACGAATCATTCATTAGGGTTACTAGGGTTGTCGAAGTAGCTACCGTAATTCATAAAATCCGAACTAGAAATGCTTCCATACTGATTATCATCACCAACTCCAAACCTAGGCTGATAATCTTCTTCTTGAACAACATGTTGTTGTTGTTGTTGTTGTTGTTGTTGTGGCAGTGGTGGCACTGAACTATAATCGGGCGGTTGAGCGTAGTTTCCATAATAATTATAACCCAATTGTTGATCGTAATTGGTGTTACTATTATTATTATTATTGTTGTTGTTGTTGTTGTTGTAGAGAGCGGAAGTGAGATACGGGAGTTGAGCATCGTTGCCAGAGAGTAATTGCGCATACTGCTGAAGCCCCGGGAAAGTATTGTGAAGCAAGGGGCTATGTTGATGAGGTGGCATCATCATATTATTCATTTGCGACGAGTCCGCGGCGGCGGCGCTTAGGTATCGGAGCTGGGTAGTGTTTCCTTGAACAACTCTTTCGGGGAAATTGAGTTTGGCTTTGGAGCCTTTGAATTTGAGTGCGGCTTCGTCGTACGCAAGTGCTGCATCTTCCGCCGTGTCGAACGTGCCTAGCCACACTCGCGCCGCCTTCTTTGGGTCCCGTATTTCCGCTGCCCATTTTCCCCATGGCCTTTGCCTCACTCCTCTGTAGTGTTTTTTCACGCCTCCTTATTAATTTCACCATTATTATAACAACAAATATTTATTAGTAACATATATATATATATACTTGGTGGTTGGAATTAATGTTGGTAACTTTAAAATGTAGCTTAATATACCTAAACAAGGCATAAAACAATTCAATTACATTAATTGATGTATGACACTATACAAAAACAAAAAAAATTATAATAAAATTGCAATGAGAAATATAACTGCAAGCAATATATATTGACTAATTTTAGCTAGGTCTATATATTAGACAATTGGTTAATTTGTGTGTTAAAAGAGTTTGAAAAATCTGACCAAATAATTATAGAAAAAAATCAATTAAGCCGCAATTCTAGATGACCACATTCAGTGTACTAATTAATAATGGTGATGAAGACGTGTCTTGGTTTGACTAATTAAATCAGCAACAAGACATTTATATATATAGATATAGGGTTGTGTATGTATATGTTGCAATTTAGTGAATTAGAGAGATGGATCTGGAGATAGAGTAATAAGATGGTACTTTACGGAAAGTAACTGCATACAATGAACTTGCCCAAAACCACAAAAACATCTTTCCCTTTTTTTCCTCTTTCTTTTTTCTAGAATTCACACCTAGCCACTTCTTCCTTCCTTGGCCAAAAACAACATATATCTACATATATACAATTTTCAGATTCTATACATATATATATATATACACACACACACACACGTATATGAGGTTAATTAGTAAAGTTACATGTTAGATTTATGGCTAATTTTTTGTCACCTGATATAGTACATATAATTAATTAAAGCAAGCTATAGAATATAATATATAAATACCTTGATCTTGGTTGGCTAGTTGACTAGTCTCCGGCGGTGGAACGGTGGTTTCGTTGTCTCCGCCATATGCTCCGCCGCCGCCGCCGCCGCCTTTCTCCGCCGATGCTTCCATGGGAAGTGGCCTCTTTCCATGCCTTCGATCCACTTTCGAGTCCTTTTTTTTTTTTTTGAATCTCTAGTGATTTATTAATTAATTACAAGTGTTTTCTGACAGTATATTACTATGAAATAGTTTTCATAAATATAAATCTCGACAAATTTTTATTTATTTTTATTTATTTTTTCTGCCTATATATATATAGTTTTGGTGTGTGGTGTGTGTGTAGAAGTTCTTATGAAAAAACAGTAGGGGAACTTAAGAGAGCAAGAATAGGGATTGTGACATGGAAGTGTCACTTTCTGTGTATGCAGAATGAGATAGTGAAATAGGGTTGGGATGCAGGGTTTTTATTGGCATGTGGATTTTTCTATTTTTTTTCTTTTTTTCTTTTTTTTTTTTTTTTTTTTTTCTCTCTCTCTCTCTCTCTCTCTCTCTCTCTTTGTGGTGTTTGAAAAAGTTAAAAGAAAAATAATTGGATTATTTTGAATCAAACTTAGGATAATTGAAAAGTTGGTATATTTATAAATGTGAGTACGTGATGGAAAGTCAACTTAACACACTATAATTTATAAGTGTACATAATAATCTTTAGGGTCAATTACAAACACCCTGAGGTATGGTCAAATTACAAAAACACCCCTCTTGTTTGGATAATTACAACCACCCCCTCAACTCCTCAAATTTAGTGGAATTTTCGAGATTATATGGAATATTATCACTTTTGTAGCCGTTTTATCCCATTCGAACTCTACATTATGAAGCAAGATGATCATAATATGTGTTTTTTAGCTTGTATATATCAGTTTGTGGTGCATCGGAAACTGTATTTTTACACAAAACGAGTACAAACTAGAGCACATTCCACGGAATTATCGATGATTATGTTGAATTTGGCACCATAAGGGTGTAGGTTTAAGAAAAAATCATAGTTGAGGGGGTAGATGTAATTATCCAATCAAGAGGGGTGTTTTTGTAATTTGACCATATCTCAGGGGGGTGTTTGTAATTTACCCTAATCTTTAATTTGACCTTATTCTTTTTTTATTTTATTTTTATTTTTTATCGTATACTAGTATCTTTCATCAGTCTGCGATGTACGGGATAACATTTCAAAATGCACATAAGGAAAGAAATATATATTACACAATTATAATAAAATTTATTAGTCATATATATTTAAATTACTGTGTTCATACAAATCTGATAATATAAACCCACTCCACAAAAGATTATATAAACTTAATTGTTATAAAATGAAATTGATCGCTAAAGAAATAAAACAACTAATAAAGATAAATTTAAAGAAAAAAAATAAAAGAAGAAAGTAACGCGTAAATATAATTAGAGATGTATAGTTGAAAAATAAGCGATTGGTGTTAAAAGGATTCTACAGTCACAAATGTTTGAATTTTGAAATTATAATAATTAAAAAATTTGAAGAGAAAAAATAATTACAAAATATCATCAGGGTTGCACTTCCATTTGTTTCTTTTATATACTAGTATTCTTTCGCGTGCGATGCACGGAAAAAAAATAAAAAGTGAAAAAATAATTAATTTAATATGTGACAATAACAATTATAATAAAAATACATTATACTATAATAACAAATTTATTAGTGATGTTTAAATTACAGTAATAACATCAACATTCATACAAAGTTGATAATATAAAGTTATTCAGCAACAGATTATATAAACTCAAATTTTCTAATATAAAATTGATTGTTAAATAAATGAATCAATTAATAAAGAAAAAAATAATAAAAAATAATTAAATTAATTTGTAGAGGCAAAAATAGAAAAAATAAATTATTTTTAAGATGCCACTAAAAGAAAAGTTGAGTAATAAAGAAAGAAGCAAATTGTTTGACTGAGATAAGAACGAAAAAGATAAAGAAAAAATATAATAAAAAAAATTATTAGAAAAAAAATATAATAAAAATTTTCTTAGGGTTGTTCTAGCGTTTCTTTCTTTTATATATAAGATAAGAAGAATCTCAAAAGTCTTATAGTTTCTGAATTTATATAAAAATTAATAATTACAAAAATATAAAATGCAATTTTAATCGAGAAACACTAATGTCGAGATACATTTGAAATTATTTCTTAAAAGTAAATCATTCGAACATAAATAAAATCAAAATCTATTTCTGTAAAAGCTTGTATTTTACTGCAACGGTTTAAATGTGAATGAAAAAGAAGAGAAATCTTAAAAGGGAAAAAGTGAAAAAGAAAAGAAAAGAAAAGATTTGATTCATAGAAATCATGGCTACAATATATTACGTCAATTTTGCTTTAAATCGAGACAAAAGTGTGTGACATATATTAGCCATAAGAAGAGATGGAAGTGATAAGAATAACAGTGATATATAGATTAGGTTGAATGGGAAAGGATATATAAGATGAGGACAATTAAAGAAGAGATAAAGTTTAAGGTAAAAAAAAAAAAAAAAAAAAAAAAATTGAGATGTATTATTACATAAGATTGGCCATTTGTCTTGATTTTGAGATGCATGCTGCATGCTACACTATATCTTTGTCTTTACGCTACAAATTTTAATTTCATTTCTTAGGTGTATGGTCATTAGTGGGGCCAATTACTTATATTGGGTCTAATGGGATTCGAGCTAGGAAGAGTTTATTAAACTAATTGAAATGTGAAAAAAGTAATTATATCAAAAAGATTAACTAAAATCAGTGTTCTAAATACCGGTCGTGGCGGTCGATATATCGGCTGCCATATCGGTATCGGTTATAAACCTTTACGATTTTGTTGAGAAGGTTTGGAATATCTGTTTTCTTTACGGCAAGGCGGTTTGCGGTGGTTTTTGGCGGGTCAAACCGATATATCGGTCAATAAATCATTTTTTTAATTAAAATTAAAATAGAAATAGGTTTTGTCTTTTGTTTTTTTCCAATTTTTTCAACTTTCAAAATCAAACCAAGTACTACCCCGCAACTTCTAACTCACAAGATAGAAGAACTTGACGATAACCCAAAACATGAGTTTATGCTTTATTATGTTTATATTAATTGTTGATGCGAAAGACTTGCGTAGTATTTGTATTTCGTAAGAATATTGTATTACCGTATGATCTTATTATTTTTAAATTTATGTTATTTATTGAGTAATTAGAATTATATAATAACATATGAATGGTAGGATAGAATTATGTTTAAATATTCTTTTATATATATTTTGAGTATTTACAAATAATACTTAGAAATATATTACACTAAATTTAAAAAATAATTTATTTCCGATTTATCTCCGATAAATCACCGTCGCGAAGCCGATAACCGCCTTTTAGAACCTCGACTAAAATATCATGAATGTTTTAAGGGTATTTACAAAAATAAAACGAAAAAGTCAACATCGATACATGTTGCGTAAAGAAAATTACACTCAATATATTTATTTTACGTGAATTTTTTTATATTTAATTTGGTTACATTTGTGCTTTTAATTGATAGATTTTGTGTTTCGTAGGTGCAAATCGAGAATTAGGTGTCCATGAAGGAAAAATGATCAAAAGAAAGGAAAAAGTTGCGAAATAAAATCAAATTGGAAGAATGAGGATAGAGTCCACAATTTCAAGCATATATTTCTCATCCGGGCTCCAAATAACCGGATTCCAACGGTATTGGAAAGCTATATCACATGGCTACAATTTTTGTCTCACGCAACTTTCACAAATTCAGACTCTAACATGGTACAACTTGGATAACAAATCATGCTAGGAAAAATTTACATAAATTGAGTCTCATTAGGTTCTACTTCCTTGTCAAGAAAAACCTATAAAAACAACAAGTCTCTACATCACCCACGACGAAATTTTAGAGCAAGACACGGAGAACGAATATTCACGAAGACTCAAGCATAGGTATTCTTCTCTATTTTATGAATCCTATTTTATTTTTCCTAAGAATTACGAGTAGCCACGTTTTTATTCGAACCTTATGGGAGATTTGTGAACCCAATTCAATGTTTTTATGCAACTATTAATTTTGAATTACATCTTCTACTTATTTTCTTAAATGCACAAAACTGACCACTTTATTGTTATTGTTGAATGCAAGAATTGTCACCTTTAAACATTATCTATTTGAAATTTTTGTTAGTTAAGCTCTGAGGCGTTGCATGTTCGTGGGCTTAGTCCATGGGCTCGCGACCGTTATTATTCTTTAGGCCCATATTTCGGGTTTTGAGGCTTGACATAAACTGTTGACCAAGGTCTTAATGACGACATCAATGATTTAAGTTGGGGAGTTTGTATCCCCCATCCCACAAAAAAAATGTAGGATTGTGTGTCAGCTTATAAGCAGACATCCTAGTATTTGGCATCAATACCTTACGTGGACATTTGGCATAGGCTTTTGGTATGATCGTTGTTGCGCAACTGTCTAGTGAGCAAGTGGGTTGGCTAACAGATAGGTTGAAAAGTCCGGAGCACTACCTGATTATTTGGATGAAGTGATTTAATGAGACCGAACCGCGAGTGGGGCAAGAGACTAATGATTGTGCTTGCTAACAATTCTTTGATATATCATAGATATTTGATGGATGGGAAATTAAATAAGTACATTGATGGCAAAATAAGTGTGGCTCTTTAATTTAGTTCTAACTACTAGTCTTCTTTGTTTAGTAGTTTTGATTCTCTTTTGCAAGGATCAAACATTATTTTTTTTAGGGATTGTAATACACTTTACCGCCATTAAAAAAAAATACTATGTGATCCCTGCAAAAGTGAACCAAATCCTCTAACTAACGAAAACTTATAGTTATTAGAACTAAAATCATCAACCACACTCATTTTGCCCTCAATATATTTTTTTCCAGACCCACCAATTATCTATGTTTTATCAATAAGGTTAACAACCATAATCGGAACAACTTCACTAAGAACTTCATCTTTGTACTTCTCAATTGAGAATGAAACAAGTACTTGCCTATGCGCCTTGAGTTCCCTCTTTGTGTTTGGTTGTATTATATCATCCTACACCTCTATAAAAGGATTTGTACGAATCCGAACTTTTCATTTTTTTTCACGTGGTGGCGCGGATTTGCAATTTTCTTTCTCTTCAGACTCGAGATCATCACTCTGATTTACTTCTTCCTCAACTAGCGGATCAATTCTTCTCAAATGTGATTGAATATCATCTTTCTCAAAAGCTTTACGAGTATCATCATATCCATGTGATGGTAAAGAATCACCCTTTCTCTTCAATTCCTCGTAGTCCGACCACAAAATGATGAATGTCTTGTTCAAGCGCTTTGAAGCAACATGACCAAAATCCAAACACCAAAAGTATTTAGTATTATAAGTTCTATGAGACTGTACAATTGAGTTACCTCATTTATTAGTCTC